GATTTCACCGCCAGGTTCCTTGCATTTTCCACGAGTGGCACGGAGAAGTGCGTCAGCAAAGTCTTGCACCATGGATGGTATTAGTGTCCTTTTCATTGCCCCCCAGGTCCATCCCTAAACCCTACACCCTAAACCCTAAACCCTAAACCCTAAACCCCCCACACCCACAGCCCAGCGCCAACTGGACTGAGGAACTTTTCTTACACGACCTTCATCTACACACCTCGCTGCTCCATCAACGGCAGCAAAGACATTCGCGGAGACCAGCGTCGCTTTCTGACCATTCCAGTGGCGATAACACATGCGTATTGCCACTGGGCCTGTGCTGCTTTTTGTGGCACAAACTTCCCCAACCCTGTCAAGCCTTCAATAACTTGGAGCGGGGCCCACTGCAAACCTACACCCTAAAGCCTTATGGCTAGGGCTGGCGCTTCGCCTTCCGCTGCCCTAAGGCTAGTGGGGCTTTGGGTTGGGAGAGATGTCTATATCCCCCTGGGGAATCATTTTTTATTTTGTGTTTATATAAAACCCAAGAGGATATTAAAAATATTATTTTCATTTTGGTTCCAAGACCCTAAACCCTAAACCCTAAACCCTAAACCCTAAACCCTTAAATGTGAGGTGAAGCTGTTCGCCTTGTGAGCTTGCTCTCCGTGACCGTTCGGAATCCAGGTTGGGAGTGGCTGCACGGGGGCCCAGCCTAAACCGATGCTTGACTCTAGGAGTGACAGCGCTTCAGCTTGCACTACACTGAGGGTTTAGGGTTTAGGGTTTAGGGTGTAGGGTTCACCATGAAACGCTGACAGTCGCTGACGCCCTGAAACTGTATGCCGGAGCCCAACCTGCCTAACCGCAGATCTCGGAAGAACCCTCCGTCCTAAACCGCCCCAAGCCTTGCACTATCTTACGCTCTTTCAACTCAGAAGAATCCTCGAGACCCGACCTGAAAAATTCCTTAACCCCCAAGTCCAGCGAGAAAGGGAAGGCGGCCACGTGTGGTTTTCGAGGCCGAGCATCCTGTTGAACACCGGCGTGAACCTCATGGCTGCCTGGTTCTGACATTTTTGTTTTTTTTTTGAGTTTAGGGTTTAAGGTTTAGGGTTTAGGGTTTAGGGTTTAGGGTTGGGGAGCGGGGGGGCGGGGGAGGGGGTTCTACCCCTCTTTTGCATGATATCGGAGAATCCTAAAACCCAATCTTAAGCCCATACTAAAGCCCTGACACCCAACGCCCTGCAACCCAAGACGCCCTGAACAGCCCTTAGAAAGCGTATTTTCCAGCGAGGAGCGGACGCAGTTGATGCTGAGCCTTGCTGTGCGGATCCTCCCATGGTGCGACTGGCTATGCCCAGGTTGCGAACAAGCCCTCAACCCCAAAATATGAATCCTCCTTCGGGGAAACCCAGCAGCTAATGTATCCTGGGGGGGAGGTGGTGTAGGTTTCTTGTGTGTGGGTGTAGTGATCCTAAAGCCCTTAAAATCCGAAGCCCCCGAAGCCTAGACACCTTAAACCTGAAACCCTGAGCCCTCAATCCGACATCGCCGAAGCCCTCACGAACTCTGAGCATGAAGTCTCGGGCGAACCCTGCACCGACTCTTATCCCGCACACAAGTTTCTTAGAGCTACTCAGAGTCCCCTACGGGATTCGACACACCCGAGCTTCTAGATACATACCCTAAATACCCTAAATGCCTCAAATTCATTCCTTAGAAGGGGGGCGGCAGTTGACATACCCTGGGTTCCGTCAACCTCGAACGGTTTAGGGTTTAGGGTTTAGGGTTTAGGGTTTAGGTGTTGAAGGTGACCTTGCACAGGAAGCCATGCGGGGCGCTTGCTGCCCTGGGGGTCTGTATTTGAGAGAATACGTAGAGAATGTACAGGAATTCAAGCACATGCAACTAAAGCAGAACTTAGCAGACTATCGTTCGGGTCGCGAACCATGAGCGAGTTGCAACATTTGTGCTTGCCATTTTCCGGCCCTCCAAGCCTTGAGTTTGCACTTGTACCTGAAGCACATGGAACACTGTGGGCCCTGAAGCAACATGAAACGCGTGTCGATGCATTCCCCAATCGGACATACTGCTTGCTTGTTCAGTAGTGGAGAAGGTAAGTGCAACCATTTCTCTAAATACCCTGCAACCTGAACCTGAGCTTACATCATGGCTGCTAGGCTTGAGCGTGGTCATCTTGCATGACGTGAGCCGCGGACGCAGGGGAGGGGTCTTAAAGTTAGAGGGGGTTCAGGTTCACCTACCCCCTAAACCCTAAACCCTAAACCCTAAACCCTAAACCCTAAACCCTAAACCCTAAACCCTAAACCCTAAACCCTAAACCCTAAACCCTAAACCCTAAACCCTAAACCCTAAACCCTAGGGGTAGAGCAGGATTCTCTGCCTTGCAGGTTTCCGTTTTGATTGGCGTTGTATTGTGAAGCCAAGACCCGAAAGTTTCAAGCCACCAACAGACAAAAAAACCGGCTTGGGTGACGAAACCCGAAACCTCAAGCCGTTCCGAGCTTCCGGATTCCTAGAAAAGAAAAACTGTATAGGCTGTTCTTTTGTACTCTACAGCATGAGCTAAGGATTTCAGAAGTCGCCAGGAAACCCCAGTCCATGCAAAGGAAGGGAGAAGCTGAACCCTAAACCCTAAACCCTAAAACCCAAAACTTCCTCATGAAGCTGTAAACCCTAAAAACCCAAAACTTACTCAGGAAGCTAAATACCCTAAACCCTGAACCCTAAACCCTCAAGCCCCCTGTAACTTGAAATCATTTAGAAGCATCCAAAAAACGAAACTCCTCGAAACTTTCCCCGGACCTGAACCCTTGATAATTTCAATAAACCCTAAACCCGAAACCCTAAACCCTAAACCCTAAACCCTAAACCCTAAACCCTAAACCCTAAACCCTAAACCCTAAACCCTAAACCCATCCTCAGGAAGCTGCATTGTGGATACGCGCAGTACGTCGCTGTGCTCGCGCTGCTCGTGGCTGGAGCCGGTTACGGTGGCATGAGCCCGGTGACAGCATGCTTGGAGGTGAGGCTTGTTTAGGGTTTAGGGTTTAGGGTTTAGGGTTTGGGGTTTAGGGTTTAGGGTTTAGGGGAGGCTTATTGAGGGAACTTTCGGGCTTTCAGAGGAACTATATCCTCCTTGGGAACTATTTTTTATTTATATAAAACCCAAGAGGATTTGAAAATATTATTTTCATTAAGGTTCTAAGGGGAGCATAGGGTAGGGTACCATAGGATACCACAGGGTACCATAGGGTACCCCAGAGATGAAAGTCAAAATACTCTTGATCGAAATGTAATTTTATTCCCCAAGGTCAGGTTAGGAGGGATCCCACAGTTTAGGGTTTAGGGTTTAGGGTTTAGGGTTTAGCGTTTAGGGTTTAGGGTTTAGGGTTTGGGGTTTAGGGTTTGGGGTTTAGGGTTTAGGGTAAGCCCCAGACCAGGTACGGCGTCCATCTTCAATGTCCACGGCCTTCTCCTGATTTTCTGCTGCCACCCAGTTCATTTCGGTTGGGGCTCTGCCGGGCAATAGGGTGCAGTCGGTACAGTCGGTACAGTGTAATGCTGCAAGCAGTCCGATGCTTGGTGGATTCGCCGTTGGGTTATGATGAAGCAAGAGTTTTTTCAGCGCGCCCCTGTTCACAACATCCACATCCAAAATTGTGACATGGCGTAGAGGCTGGCCAGATCTCATGAAATGCGGCTTGAGGGTTTAGGGTTTAGGGCGTGATTCCCCAAACCCCCACACCTTCGAAAGTGCTTCGGGGGGTGTGCAATAAGTGGGTTTAGGGGTTTAGGCTCTTCCCTTTGTGAGGCATTCTTCTGGAAGTGATGGAAGATGTGCTGGTGCATCTGCTGCCACGCAGCGACTACTGGCGGCGCAGGCACAAGCGGGATTTGGGGGATTTGGGAGTTTTGGGGGGACCGCAACACACAGGGGGACTAATCTGTGACTAAAGTAAATAAAGCTTCCTAGACGGCAGGTTTATTTGAGGGGCCCGAAGGCCCCCCTCGAACTAAAGCTTTTCTCGAGGTGATGTCTTTTGGGCTACCGAGTTGCTCCAAGGGCGGGGCCTTTCAAGGGCCTCCTTAGGGTTTACAGATTTGGGTTTAGCGTGGCTTTTGCGTCGCTTGACCCTCATATTTCGGGATTTGAAGCTGCCGTGGATGCTAAGCGACCCAAACCTAGATTAAGGCACCCAACGCCCCGAAAAACCCACACCCGAAACTCAACATGGGGCCGGCGGAAAACGAACTCCAACGCCTGTGACTTGGGTCTTAGCAGTCGAACCCGAGAATCTAGGGGCCCAAAGCCCTGTTTAGCACGACATTGTGTGAGGCTATCTCCTTACTACGAGAAGCAGCCGCTGATGCACCCGAAACAGCTCGTGCAACGCGGTTCAACCGGAGATGCCCCTGAGTTTTGGGGACGTTTGGAGGCTTCGGAGGTTTGGCTTAGGGTTTAGGGTTTAGGGTTTAGGGTTTAGGGTTTAGGGTTTAGGGTTAGCGGGAATTGTGGACCTCTTTTGTGTTTCTCAGGGGCAAGGTGATACTTGGATTCTTTTTGACCACCCTAGGGCCCTAGAAGCCCTGGAACATATTTCCCATAGCTGTTGATCACTCTTGTGGTTGCAACATGAACCCAAACCCTAAACCCTAAACCCCAAACCCCAAACCCCAAACCCTAAACCCTAAACCCTAAGCCCTAAGCCCTAAGCCCTAAGCCCTAAACCCTAAGCCCTAAACCCTGAACCCTGAACCCTAAACCCTAAACCCTAAGCCCTGAACCCTGAACCCTGAGCCCTGAACCCTAAACCCTAAACCCTAAACCCTAAACCCTAAACCCTAAACCCTAAACCCTAAACCCTAAACCGTCCTCAGGCTCATCGACCATCAAGGCAGCAACTTCGATGCAGTGCCGCTGGCTCTGCACGGTCAGCGATCGCTCGACCTAGCCGAGGCTGCCTTCACTCTAGGGGTTTTGGGGTTTAGGGTTTAGGGGTTTTAGGGTTTAGGTTTAGGGGTTTTAGGTTTAGGGGTTTTAGGTTTAGGGTTTAGGGTTTAGGGTTTAGGGTTTAGGGTTTAGGGTTTAGGGTTTTGCGGTTTAGGGGATTTCGGCTTGATGGTTTATAGGGTGGCGGGCTTGCGGCTTGAGCTGGCCCCCCCCCCCCCCCCCCCCCCCCCCCGTGGGGCCACAAGAACCGTGCTGAAATGCGCTGAAGCTCTGTAGCAAGGCTACAAGGGTTTAGGGTTTGGGTGCTTGGGGTTTGGAGGGTTTAGGGTTCAGGGTTTAGGGTTTAGGGTTTAGGGTTTAGGCATGGCCTGGCAAGCTGGCCCCTGTCAGGTCTGCTTGCTCATGTGGCCAAGCTCGCTGTTCACGTATGTGCTCATGACGCTTCTGCTAGGAGCCGACAACTTCCCCCTAAACCCTAACCCCTAAACCCTAAACCCTAAACCCTAAACCCTAAACCCTAAACCCTCAACCCTCAACCCTCAACCCTCAACCCTAAACATGAAACCTGGAGTGGGTCTGTCTAGACCCTGCATGATGAGCCCTTGACAAGGACGTCAAACCCTTGAACCTAACCCTGAGCCCTAAAACCGGTGAGACGAAACTCTACGTCCCTAAACCCTAAACCCTAAACCCTAGACCCAAAACTCCCCCTAAAACGCCCAGGCCTTGGAGATGATCGCCCAAACACCCTGTACTTAGGCCCTCGAATCTCTGGATGACCCTAAGGGCCCCTCACCATCCCCAAACCTTCTAAAAACCCCCCCTCACCATCCCCAAACCTTTTAAAACACCAACACCCCAAGCGAAGTCCTGTCCGATCTCGCAGCACGAAGTTGGGCATCAAGGCAGCTACACCCTAAACCCTAAACGGACTTAAACCCCTTACCCTTCAAGCGGAGCCGAAGGAGCTGGCTACGTGCACGGTGTTTGTGATGCACCTATCCCGCGTGAGTTGCGGGTGCTTGATGCATTGATTTGGGAAACTCCGCTACGCTGCGCCTGACCCTTTATCAACTCCCCAGGTGCATCTGGGGCAGTAGTTCAAAGGCTCCATGGAGGAGCGTGTCTGGGCAAACGCGGTAAACATGACATGCAAAGCAAAAGGGAAGCAACGTGCCATGAATGGAACTGAAGGATCCTCGATTTGTATTCAGGCTTCACCTTGCATCACCACACAACATAGGCTACCGCCCCAAAGGCTGAAAGGTCTTCGAAGGTTTCAGCAAAGCTGGAGTCCGAAGAAGTTGCTGCGGTCGTTGGTGATTTCAATGCTGGCAGTCAGGGATTCTGAGCCCATGGTGAAAAAACCCTAAACCCTAAACCCTAAACCCTCAAACCCTAAACCCTAAACCCTAAAACCCTAAACCCTAAACTCCTAAACCCTAAACCCTAAACCCTGAACCCTAAGCCCTGAACCCTAAACCCTAAACCCTAAACCCTGAACCCTAAACTGCCGAGAGCGCCGCTGTCCATTTGCATGGGTGCTCGAGGCTTCAACCGAGGTCCCCGACCGAGTGTCTCGACAGAACGGTGAGGGAGGGTAAAGCCTCCCGGTAGACGGGCCTGCAGTGACTGGCTTCGCTTCAGAGCAGGACCCCAACACCCGCACCGTTGGCGCCGTCGTGTGGTTTTTGGGGTCGGGCCCCCCCCCCGGGCGGCCTGGGGTCCCAGGCTGGCAGATTCCAGGGACCCCCCCCCTTCTGGGCCCGTTCAGGGGGGGGCTCTTGCCGTTTAATCCGGGACAGGTCTCTGTCTCCTGAGACCCTGGGACCCGACCCCGCTGGGCCCCCCTTCTGGTTGTGGGATCTATTCAAATTTCTGCAGACCCTACCGAAGCTCCTGCCGCCTGGCACGCCTTGAGGACCTCCAAACCTGCCTTTTCTCTTTTCTGGAACCCTTTTCTGGGACCTTGCCTTTGCAAACTATTTAGGGGCTGGCTTCCCCCTGCCGCTTTGCTGCCCTAAGGCTGCATGAAGCTCCGCGATGCAGGATTTGCCCAGACCGTAGAGAAAAATGTTGGTATTTTAGTATTGCAATCGACGGTTTTGGGCACCCCTCCATTTTACTCCGTGAAAGCTCCAAGAAGCCTACGATCCACTGACAGGCTCCACAAAGCTCAGGAGGCCCCACCCTGCTCTTTTTGTATAAAGCAAGAAAGCCCCCCTTGAGGGGGGTTTGGAGGGTGAACCCTAAACCCTAAATGAGAATAGTTTGGGTGGTTGGGGTGGGACTACATGCTAACGCAAGCGAGCGGCCCGGGTGGTTTTAGCACCAGCGAGCTTTCCTTCTATACACCCTAAACCCTAAACCCTAAACCCTAAACCCTAAACCCTAAACCCTAAACCCTAAACCCTAAACCCTAAACCCTAAACCCTAAACCCTAAACCCTAAACCCTAAACCCTAAACCCTAAACCCTAAACCACCAGGCCTTGTGGGGTTGTAGCTCTTGCTCTGCTTGTCAGCGTGGGAACTCCTTCCGCAAGCCGCTCCTTCCGTGGAGCGCGACGATGCTCTTTGTGGTTTAAGAACACTGAACCCTAAACCCTAAACCCTAAACCCTAAACCCTAAACCCTAAACCCTAAACCCTAAGCCCTAAGCCCTAAACCCTAAACCCTAGACCCTAAACCCTAAACCCTAAACCCTAAACCCTACAAACCCGAAATGTTCTCCGGCCATTTTGCCTCTGGTCGACTGCAGCTCCCTCCCAAGACGAGGCGACCTTTCACCGGGATGATTTAGGATTCAGGGATTATAGGGTTTAGGGTTTAGGGTTTAGGGATTAGGGTTTGGGTTTGACAACTTGGGATGGGTTGCCTCAATTGAGGCTCCCTGCTTTTGAAGTGTCGCTGCATTGCGAATGCCCTCGGACGCCTGGAGGATGTGCAGGGACCGGCGCCCTGTCCTCGGTGTCTGTGATTTCAATGTCTAGGGAACTCTGCACGCGCTCGCCTCCCGAAGGGAAGCATTTTCAGGACCAGCACGTGCACCACAGCTGACTAAAACGAGACCGCCTCGCTCACCGAAAAGGGTGCCGCTACGTATCTCGACGTAGTCAGACCCATTCTGGGTTTGGGCACTTGGAGGTTCATGGTACTTATTAACCAATTATAACTGCGCTTGTAACCCACTTGTAAGCCCCTGAAGTTGCCTAATATGGTTAGAAGTACAGTTATAAGTACAGTTATACGTGGTTACTAAGTACCATGAACCTCCAAGTAAGACATGACTTCTGCACTGTGCGATGCTGGTGCTTGCGGATTCCTTTGCATGATCTCCTCCCGAGCAAGACCTAATTACGTCACGGTCTTTGCAATATCCGTATCTTTCTCTGGACTGCTCGCTTGGTTTGCACGTAGCTTGAAGGCACGACGGCAGATTTTGAGTTCGTCTCGTTCCTGTCGTTGGAGCTCTGCAATAAGTTCTTCATTGCAAGGTATCTTCTGCAGTTGAGTCTTATGGCTTTCTGCGTGGCCTTCAGGTAACCCGGGACGAGGCCAATTGGGGCTTTCTCGCATTAAACGGATGAGTTGTTCTTCGCGGAACGGTTCGGTGAATTCGTGAATCAGTTGGGTGACTGATCTCTATATGCGCTTTCCCTTCCAGAAGTATACATGATCGCCTGCTTGCAAGGTGATGTTCTTGTCGCATGGGTGTGCGTTTACTTGTGCCAGGGTGTCCTTCATGAAGTCGTTGGGAATCGTGGCGGGTGACCTTGTATGCTCATAGAGGAAATCCAAAATCTGGGCCCGTTTTCGGGGCCTGGAATAAAGCTGCCTTTTGGAACCTGTTTGAATTCAAAAGAAATACTGCAATCAACTCACAGAAAAACAAGATTTTCTATTTTCTGCTGTTTGCATCACCACTCAAGAAAACAAAAACGAAGTCGATACGCGTGTTCTTGGCTGGCTAAACTGGTTTTCGGCTGGCGTTTCAAGACAAAGCAGTCTTGTCTTGTTCTCATACGATCTTTCTCGGACTGTGGAGGTCACCTCAGCTTCCTCACCCGCTTTGGGTAAACAATCCCTTCCACATCGACTGTTCATACATATGTTTGGCCTTTCCCTCTTCTTTTTCCAGCTGTGCCTCTTCATCTGCACTCACCCCTTTTTGGGTGACCCAGTAATCCACACCAGGTGCACAACAGTTTGGCCAAAACTCATCATTCGGACCATTGTCCTCCACATCTGCATCCTCTCCCAGCTCCCCCAAACCCTGCATGTCTTCAATATCTCTACCTTTTTGATTGATTTTGCTGACCCTCTTTTTGGGTCTCCAAACCCACACACCTCACACCCGCACACTGACACTTGGTCACTCGAACACCAGAACCCAACCCACCTTTACCCACTTTGCACCCAGAAGTTTGCACACACCGCACTCTCTCTCTCTCACACACACACACGCCCAAGAAAACAGCCAAACTCACACAACACACCACACCCAAACACCAAATCCACACACACACAAAATGACAGACAACACACACACACAGACGCTGCAAGGTCACTTTGATAGTTTTGCTGTCTCTCTTTCACTAAGACTTCATCCCACAGCTTACACGCTGACACTTGCACTCAAACAGCAAGAACACCCAACACGCACAATGCAATGAACTTTTGGCCAAAAACACATGTTTCAAAAACATTCTCAAAAAACGTGTTTTTTTGACTTGAGTGACTCGAGTCTTTTTTCCCGTGGATTTGGGTGAATTATGTTTTTTTGGTTGTGCGATCTTTGTTAGCTGACATGTCACAAGCAATGATTGATTCAAACAAAGATCTGAATTAAATTTCCAGATATATTTAAAACATATGATGGTTTTTTTGTATCTTTTTGAAAATGCGCGTAGGTGTCCTTTGGAAAGATTTTGGGTCAACTCTTCCCCTGGATCACCACGTCCACACACACAAAACAGATTCTGTTGGGTGATCTGAAAAAGCGATTAGCAACTTCGAAAAAAACAAATGTCACTTGGAAGCACACAACTAAACTTTTAGTTGGAACAAAAAACCATCAAACGGAAATTCTAAAACCAATTTTGATTGTGCCTTGAAACAATCGACGAATTTCAAAAAACGAGAAGACAAAAGAGAAGGAATGTTTCACACCGACCGGCTAGACTGCCCAAGTAGATTGCTGACGCGTGAAGGGGCTCACCATAAAAAAGAAACAAAAAAAGAGAACACAACTCTGAACCAAAACTTGCAAAGCTGGTTACAACATAACAAAGAACAGAAATGAGAGGTCGTTTGTTTTGTTTTTTTCAACATCAGCAAAGAACTGACATTGCAACATCAGCGAAATAAACAATTTTCCCGAATTTCTGAAGTCTCCAAAAATGTTGAAACTCCTCAAAAACAAGACTTGATCAGTCAGATATGTTAAATACACTCTGGTGTTTCGCTTGCTTTGCTCGCACTTACCAACGTTTTGGTAAAACACTTTGCAGGTTTTAAACGGTTCGGTTCGGGCGTCGCGCGCAACATTGACAAATCAACACCACAGTTAAAATCGTCTCGTCCTGCAGTTGCTTTCTGTCCAAACGGCACTGTCAGAGGCTTTCCAAAACGCTTGTTTCAAGGCATTGAATTTTTCCAAGCTGCAGTTTCCACCGAGCCATTTTTCTAAACCTTGCGTTCTCAAACTTTGCCGTGTGGATTACATGAACTTACGATCAATTTTTTGTGGTTTTTGCTCGCTGGTGCTTGCTTGTTGCGTTCGTCTCGATCCGCTGTTAATTTTCAACCAAGAGACGTCGTCAAACTTTTTCAAAAATGCTTGTTTCAAGTGTTCTTGTTGACTCTGTACCCTCCTTTTCTCCTCTTCTAGTCAGCAGTGGCACTGTAAAGCTTAACAACTGCTGTTATTTTCTTTGTGTTGTTCTCTTCTTGGGCCAAAGAGGCCGGTAAGGCGTAAGATTAGGATGAGTCTCCATACTATTCCAAGCAGGCAGCGTTTGGCATGATTCCGAATTGCTATACTAATCAAAAGTTCACATGAACCCCTAGGAGCAAAGCAAGCGTTGGTTGCGGGAAGTCAGTGGAAGCAAGAGTGGCCTTGTTGGCTCGTGACGTGTGCAGCCTCGCTGGGCGGAGCGGCACAAGTGCAACCCGGAAGAAACGGTGCAAATTTGTTGCAGATGTGCAGATGCAAGTCCCACTTATAATCACTTAGCATTACAAATGCGTCAGCCGCCTTTTCGTGCGCACCCATGTGCTCCGGTGCACAATCATGCAGGGTCATGCTCGAGAACCTTCTTCATGGGGGAGTTACATGCCTTGAGGTGTGCGAAGGGTTCCTTTCAACTGGAAAGAAGAGTGTCGCGCTTGCACGCTGCTTGCCTTCCAAGCAGAAGGTGGTAAACCCTTGAGCCATGTAGCAGCATGGGCATGTCGGCTGAAACTGAGTTTGGCCGTGGGTTGGTTCAATGTAGTTACCATATCGCAAGTGGCCCACATCGCCCAAATGCTCGCTTTCATGAAGATATGAATGAACTGTTTAGGGTTTAGGGTTTAGGGTTTAGGGTTTAGGGTTTAGGGTTTAACTCTCTTGGGCAAGTTTTTGCGTTCGACGGCCCCACATCGTATTTTCTGCGTTGGTTTTTGCATGGGATTTTGTTCGGCCCTGGAATGTGGTCGCTGCCGAGGACGTAGCCGTTTCGGCTGCCTCACCTAGCCTACCCTACCCTATTCCTGTCAGAACTCCCTTCTGAAGCGGGACGGGAGCGGGATTTCTTCAACCAGTTCGTTTTACTACAAAATGCAGAGTCGCGCCTCGCCTGCACTGCCCACCTTGTCAGGTTTTGTGCCGGGTGTTGAGGGTCAACTGCCTCTGGCTTTGGAGCCTTGCTGCTGTCTTCAGGGTTGGCACTTCGGGACGTGACCAAGGTGGAATGTTTTCTAGTGGAGCTGCTGCGGAGAGAGACCTCCTTTCCACACATCGCATGTTGTGTTCGCATTTGAAGGATGCTCAATCTAAAGCCCGTGTTGTCACAGTTGCGAGATTACATCGTGCAAAGCCTTACTATCGCAAGGCCGAAACATGATGCTGACAGATTTTTCTTCCATGCCTCCACGAGGTGTACATGTGGCCGTGTCCAGCATCCAGTCATTTCTGCGGGCACATGCCACCCTCCATATGACACTGAGCTGAAGAGTTTGGGCACTGTGACCTGCGGTAATGTAGCCCTGCACCCTAAACAAGTTTGCAACCGCCTGATGAGTGTTTCGCCCCAATCTCCTACAAAAAGTTCCCCAACGCCAAGAAACCTTCAACCCCTCAAGCGATAACCAAGAATGAAGCCTGGCCTATCCATGAAGCTAAGCATGAGTTGTGCTGCTTCGCAAGCACCTCGGGGCAGATTTTGATCCTCAAGTCCTGAAACCTTAAACCCTACACTTTGCACCTTACATTTCCTAAGCCGTACTTCGCATCTTCCATTCCCGAGCTTCCCAACCCCTGAGCGAAGGCTTTGGGTCTAGAGAGTAGACGTTCAGGGTGTCGGGTTTAGGGTTTAGGTCTCCTTTTTCAGGTTTTCTCTTCGGACTTTACCTGGAGCGGCCTACGTAGGACGCAGAATATCGTAGAGTACTGTCGCTCACTTTTAGAGGGGGCTCCTGGATGTCGTCTTGAGTTTTCAAACCTTGGAGCCGGACAGCTAAACCCCAGGTGCGGGGTTCAGGATTCAGGCTGGAGTTGTTTTTAGGGTTTAGGGTTTAGGGTTTAGGAATAAGGGTTAAGGATTTAGGGTCTAGAGTTTAGGGCTTAAGACGAAGCCCTCAGCCCCAAAGCCCAAATATCCCAAAAGCACAACGCCCTGCGTCCGAAGTCCCGAACCTGCGCCAGCCTGCGGCTTCGAGCAAGGATCCAGAAGGGTAGGCGTTGTTTGGAAGCCCCTTTTGGTCACCCAACTCCTATGGTAAGGCTTTCCTGACAAAGCCATATTCTTGGGCAAGTCTTGGGCAGACTCGATAGCACGAGAGAACTTCGACTAGGCAGTGGTGTGTCGGGGTGAAGCGCTAAGGGTGGGTTTGTGCTGTTTCGGGTTTCCTGTTTAACATCAAACCCTAAACCCTAAACCCCAAACCCGAAACCCTATACTCTAAACCCCAAACCCCAAACCCTAAAACCTAACCCTAAACCTTTTAAACCAGAAACCCAACTCCCTCATCCTGTGCAGCAAGGATGGCCAGCAATCGCGGAGTTGGCCTGTTGATTGTGGCCCCGTGGCTTTCTTCTGGGCTCAACAAGTTTGAGGGCTCAAGGCCCCAAAACCCCAAAACCCCAAAACCCCAAAGCCCCAAAACCCCAAAGCCCCAAAACCCCAAAACCCCAAAACCCCAGAACCCAACAACCTTAAAACCTTAAACTACTGAACCTCCAAAACTCCAAAACCCCAGAACCCAACAACCTTAAAACCTTAAACTGCTGAACCCCAAAACTCCAAACCAGCTTTGAACAAGCCAGTAGGAGGCATTTTGCAGCCCGGGGAGTCGGTTTGCTGAATCCTGATCTCTGAACCCGAAACCTTAAACCCTAAACCCTAAACCCTAAACCCCAAACCCCAAACCCCAAACCCCAAACCCCAAACCCTAAACCCTAAACCCTAAACCCCAAACCCTAAACCCTAAACCCTAAACCCTAAACCCTAAACCCGAAGCCACCGCCCAGATTACAGCTCTCATGTTCTTGCCGCTGGAGTTCACCCAGTTGGCCTTCGCCGTCGCCGGGGCCTGCGCAGCGCGGCAGCAGGGTTGAGGGTTTAGGGTTTCGGGTTAAGGGTTAGGGTTTAAGGTTTAGGGTTTAGGACTACTTGGAGGTTCATGCTACTGATCAACCGCGTATAGTTGTACTTACAACTGTACTTAGAAGCCACTTAAGTGCTCTAATATGGTTTTCAGTACAGTTATAAGTACAGTTTTAATTGGTGAAGAATTACCACATGAACTTCCAATTAGGGATCCTCAAGCTTATTACAAGGGCCTCAAAACCCTAAACCCTAAACCCCAAACCCTAAACCCTAAACCCTAAACCACATAGAGATAAGGGTTCTACTATTGGGGTCGAAGGGCCCCCAAAAAGGGGGATTCCGAACAACCTTGTTTCCTCATGTCTTTGGTGGTTTTTGGGCCCCAAGCTTACCCAGACCCTTTTGAGTTTTGCTAGGCTTCAGTTTCCAGGAGCTTCTGAAGTTTGGGCTTCAAAGTTTAGTTTAGGGTTAGGGTTTAGGGTTTAGGACTTCAGGAGTGTTTAGGCGGTGGACGCGGGCTTTGGCCGAAGCCTTTCTGCGGTTTTGGGTTTAGGGTTTAAGGTGTAGGGTATCAGGGGCCTGGTAGAGGACGAAGAGAGTAGGGTTCAGAGACTCGTAACGCAGTATCTTTGCTTTTTCAATACTCGGCTCACTTCTCACATCAAATGAATCCGGGGTACCCCATTTCTCATTCATATGACTGCCGCACGCCACTTTAAACTAAACAGTTTTAGTGCAATGAAAGGTAACAGCTTGAAAACTCAACGTGATCGTACAGAACCCTGAACCCCTAAAGCCGAAAGTTAAACTCAAGACCCCAAACCCGAAACCCTAAAACCTAAACCCTAAACCAGCCCCTCAGTCTAGGGTTTAGGGCCTAGGGTCCTAAATCCTAAACCCTAAACCCTAACTCCTAAATCCTAAACCCTGAACCTCTACAACTAAACCCTAAGCCGTGCACCTAGGCCTACACCTTCGTGCAGCACGTGCAGGAGCACGGCTCCTTCTGGCTTGCCAAGGCCCGACCCAGATGAAGTTGTTGTTAGGGTTTAGGGTTTGGAGTTGAGCGTTTAGGGTTTAGGGTTTAGGGTTTAGGGTTTAGGGTTCAGGGGTTTTGAGCCAGTGACCCCTCTTTACCTTCATCCTTCAACAGCAGGGGTATGAGATTCGAGCTCAGGACTGTGCTTCTAGGCTTATGACCCTGATGACCCGGAGGTCTAGGCCCTACGGGCGAACCCGAAACCGGCTAAACTTTAGACGCACAGCCTCCAACCCTCAAGCCTGAGGGTTTAAAATTTAAAGTTTAGGGTTTAGGGTTTAGGGTTTAGGTTCGAAGAAGCTTCCCACCAAGGTTCAGGGTTTTGATCCTGTGAGAAGCTCCCGTGGCCCTGAACGCACCCCTGAGAGTGCCAGATGTGAGGGCTTCGCGTGGTTTAGGGTGAATCTCTGTGTTTACCTTATTCCGACCGAAAGAAGCCCTAAGCCCATAAGCACGCCTTAAACCCTAGACTAACCCTAAACCCTGAACCCTTAACCCCCAAACCCCCAAACTAAACCCCACAATCCCAAACCACACAAACCCAAAACCCTGAACCCTTCGTCCCCGCCTTCGGGGATGTGGGTATTTCACAAATAGGGGTACCCCCTTTTATACCCAAACATAGTAGAATCCCCCTTAAAGGGTTTCGGGTTTAGGGGTTTTCCCCCTTTGTTTCGTAAGCTCCCATATGTTTCGCGGAGAAGGACGTGGCTCCTCAGAAGGTCTCGCACCACAAGTCGAGCCAGAAGAAGGCAAGTTCCGGTAAAAGGGCTTTGGGTTCAGGGTTTAGGGTTTAGGGTTTAGGGTTTAGGGTTTAGGGTTTGGGGTTTGGGGTTTGGGGTTTGGGGTTTCGGGTTTAGGGTGCAAAGTTTCAGGTTCGAGGTTGAGAGTTTTCGAAGTTTTGGTCCCCAATTCCAATTCGCTGGGGAGTGGCCTCGATGTGCTCTCTTTCTATGCTTTCTTTAAGGGCCGGAAATGGAACATCTTGAGAGGATCAATTCGAAAGCTTCGCCCTGAACCCTAGACAAATGCTGAAGGCCTTGACCTCAAAGCCTGTAGCAAACTCGAGACGGGTCGCAAGACAACTCGAAAAAAATTTTGGTATAGCCCAAAATGCACGAAGCCACTTGAACGATCCGGAAACCCTTTGCAAGCCAAACCGGAACCCTGAACGACAACTCTCAAAACCGCTGCCTGAACTCCCCAGTTTATGACGCTGAACTCAACAAGCAACCTGAACGTCGATCGTCCTCTTCGGACTACCCTAAATTTTTACGAGCCTTTTCCCCCCGTAAAACCCTAAAGCCTTGCCTGCCATAAACTCTAATGAGCCCTAAACCCCCAACACCCGGAAATCCCCCCTACCCCAAACCCTTAAACCCTGAGCCGCAACCCTAAACCCTAAACCCTAAACCCCAAGCCCGAAGCCCTAAACCCCAAACCCTAAACCCCAAACCCTAAACCCCAAACCCCAAGGCCCGCTTGCACGCGCAGGTGCGGCAGCCTGCTACGCCCAAGCCCAATCTTCCTCCTGCCCCGAAGCCGAGCCCACGCCAGGCTTTAGGGTTTAGGGTTTAGGGCTTGGGGTTTAGGGTTTAGGGTTTAGGGTTTGGGGTTTAGGGTTTAGGGTTTAGAACCCAAAACTTAGGGACACTTGGGAATAATTGTGAGCTTTTGGGTATTTAATTTAGTTCCTAAGAAGCAGCTAAGATTAGAATCTTGGCTGGGGTCCAAGTTCAGTTAAGAAAAGGGGTTCGGGGTTTATAGAGGTTAAATCGTTTAGGGTTCAGGGTTTATCCGGGTTTGGGGTCAAGTGGCTTATGGGCGTTTAGGGTTTGGGGTTCAGGGCTTGTAGGGGTTTTGGGCTTAAGGGGCGAATAAGAGTTTATGGCTTACAGGCTTTGCGGTTCATGGTTGAGGGGTTTAGGAATCTAGGGCCCTAGCGGGGGTTGCGGCTTTAGGAAGGGGGTTTGAGGCCTCATTTTAAACTTGAACCCTAAACTCTGTAAGCTTTAATCCCTCTGCCCTATATACCCTATAAACCCTGTAAACCCTACAAACCCTAAGCACCCCGTAAACCCTGCAAAGCCCCATAAACCCTATGAACCCCACAGACCCTATAAGCCCTATAAACCCTATCAACACTATCAACCCTATCACCTGTATAACCCCTAAACCCTAAACCCTAAACCCTAAACCCTAAACCCTAAACCCTAAACCCTAAACCCTAAACCCTAAGCCCTAAACCCTAAACCCTAAACCCTAAACCCTAAACCCTAAACCCTAAACCCTAAACCCCCGAAACCCTAGCGGAATTCAGGGGGTGAGGGGGTGTCAGAGCTCAGGTTAGAGGCTTGGGTCTTGGACATTGGGGGGTGGGATGGGTTGGGGGTTTTGGGCTTTAGGGCTGAGGGGTTTAGGGCTTAGGGGTTCAGGGTTTAGGGGTTTATGGTTGCAGGGTTTGGGTGCAAGCTCTTGTTGTAGGGGTTTGTGGGGGTAGAGGGCCTCGCACCGAGTGGTTTCTTGCTCCTTCGTTCGGGCAGGCTCCGACGTCAAGCCTGTGGCCGCCAGTGCTCAGTGGCCAGTGCTGGGAGGCTGCGTGCTGCTTGACCCTGCTGAACCCTAAGCCCTAACCCTAGACTTGGGGAGGTTGGGGGACCGGGCTTTGCTACAAATCCTCAACCCTGGGGAGCATTTAGGGTGCAGGCTTTGGGGCTTAGTTTATAGTTTATGGCTGGTAATAAACCCTAGATCCTGACCCCTTTCTCCGCGTCTGTGCGGGGGTTGATCTAAACTCTCGGCTCTTGCTACCTAGCCTTTCAGGAGCACACTATGCTAAAGACTCCAATGGCCACAGAATTGGCATCAACCCGCCCACATAGTGAGGGTTTGGGCCAAGAGTTGTGGGCGTTCATGATCGTCAGTCCGACGTGTCGGAGCTGCTCGGACAAATCTCGCCCAATGCCGAGAGTGAAGACACCGTCTCCCGCCTTGTGGACGCTGTACCTCTTCTCAGTTCAGCAAGAATTTTGGGTTCGGGGCTTGAGGGTGCTTATGGCCTGGGGTCGAACTGTTGACAAAGTGTATGCTGGTGCGCGTGAGGCGAGGGACCCTAAGCAGGTCTCGAGCCAATGTCCTAAACCCTCAACCCTCCCTCAACCTTGAACCGTCTTCAATCTACCCCTGGAGGGTTTGAGGTCCACTGGCCCGAAACCCAAAACCCTAAATCCTAAACCCCAAACCCTAAACCCTAACCCTAAACCCTAAACCCTAAACCCTAAACCCTAAACCCTAAACCCTAAACCCTAAACCCAACAGAGGTGCGTGAGACCATTCTGCCCATCTTCCCCGACCTGGACGCCTGCGGTTTCGTCCACGGCCGCCCTGCAGCGACCACTTGAAGACTCCGCCCTTAGGGTTTAGGGTTTAGGGTTTAGGGTTTAGGGTTCAGGGTTTAGGCTTAGGGCTTCACGGTTATGAGTAAGCAGCATTTCCGCAATGGCGGGGTGTTGGAGTTTTGAGCTATGCAGGGAGCCCGATACACCCCTCAGTTAAGGAGCTTGTGTAGTTCAAGGTGTATTTCCTAAACCCTAAATCATCCTAAGCCTCTACCTGGCCCTGGACCTAAAACATGCCCCTGAGCCCTATACCTTGAGCCTCAAACCCCCAAATTCTGCACCCTAAACCCTATCCCTAAACCCTAAACCCTAAACCCTAAACCCTAAACCCTAAACCCTGAACCCTAAACCCTAAACCCTAATCCTGGAAATCTGAGGCAACCTCCGCTCCGGCCGGGCCTTCCGTGTGGCCGTGCCCGACGTTGCCCCTCGGGCTATGACCCCTAAACCCGAAGCCCGAAACCCTAAGCCCTCAACCCTAAACCCTAAAGGGTTTAGGGTTTAGGGTTTAGGGTTTAGGGTTTAGGGTTTAGGGTTTAGGGTTTAGGGTTTAGGGTTTAGGGTTTAGCCCTAAACCTTATAAACCCTAAACCCAAAACCTTATCAAGCTCTTATCCCGGTGGAACATAGGGCTTAGGGAGGGTTTCCCAGGGTGTGGGGTCGAGGTTTTTGGGTTTTGGGTTGCGGGCTTAGGGGCTTCCCCCCCTTCAAAACGGACTTACCCCTAAACCCTCCATGCATCTTTACGCTTCAGGGTTTAGGTCGATTTGCACGGGTTTTGGCTTTGTGGTTTAAGGTGATTTGCAGGTTTGAGACTTTCCATTGTCGTAGCCGACCCATTATCCCCCCCCCCCCCCGCCTCCGAAACCCACAGCTTGCAAATGGGTTTGTGGGTTGGGTTTAAGGGGGTTCAGGGTATGGGGACTGGGGTTTAGGGTTGAGGGTTTGGGGTTTAGGGTTTCGGGTTTCGGGTTTAGGGTTTAGGGTTTCGGGTTTAAGGGGGTTCAGGGTCTGGGGTTTGGGGTTTACGGGTCTGCCCTTCTTCGGTGGGGGGTCGCGAGGAGATCGTGCTCTCCGTGAGCCCCGAGAAGCTGCGCCAGAAGCTGCAGAATCGAATCGCCACCGAAAGGCCCGGACCTCATCCCTTGGGCCCGAAGCACAAACCTGTCGAAAGTTGTCTCCCCCTAAGCCCGAAACCATAAACCCTAAACCCTAAGCCCTAAGCCCTAAACCCTAAGCCCTAAACCCTACACTCTAGTGGGGGTTGGGGGGGTTTAAGAGTTTCGAGGAATTGGGTCTTCAAGCGCATGGCAAGGAAAAGTGCTATGATGTCATTTTTTTTGCCTTCCGACGCCATGGGCGTCTTTTACTTCAGGGCTAAACCCTAAACCCTAAACCCTAAACCCTAAACCCTAAACCCTAAACCCTGAACCCTAAACCCTAAACCCTAAACCCTAAACCCTAAACCCTAAATCCTAAATCCTAAACCCTAAAACCCTAAACCCTAAACCCTAAACCCTAAACCCTAAACTTCGAAATCTTAAGCCTTACTTGGCCATTGTAGACGATTGCGCCACCATGATGCCTGCGAGGAAGATGGACACCCGCCAACTCGAGAAGGTCGCTGGGGCTTCGGGGTCGGGGCTTCTAATCTCGGTGGTAAGGCCTTATTCTATACCCAGGCACCAAACCCCATACCGCAAAACACGACATCTAGGGCGTATGACTTGGTCCTATGGATTGCCAGTTGCGGGGTTGCGTTTTGGGCTTTGACACAACCCAACCCTCTCCAGTTGTTGAGGCAGCGATCCGCATGGTGGCCGAGGCTCCTATCGGCGACTGTCTTGCTTTTCTGGGACTCCTACGAGTCCTATGCTTTCAGCGTGTAGGGCATCTTGGGGGTAGCTTGTATGATAATGCTAGAGAGTTTTCTGGGGAGGAACACGGTAGTTTAATACGGCCCTGAATGTTCTGGAGTCCTGACCCAGAACCAACGAACTCCGAAGCTGCGCAGTTCTCAAACCTTAGCCCTTTCTTGAAGTAGTTTTGTTCTTATGGTCTTGGTGCATGTATATGATGAAGTTCCTTTTGAAACATTGGTGAGTGAGTCTTTGGGGCTGCGGGTGCTAGAAGCCCCAAGTCCTCCATGCTCCAAATCCGACATGTACATGAAGCCCCCAGTGCTAGACCTCTCAAACCCCGAACCCCAAGCCAGTCCTCAGCTCCCTAATCCCCAAACCCAAAACCCCAAACACGAAATCCTGAACCCCAAACTCCAAACCCCAAACGCTAAATCCCAAACTCCAAACACTAAACCCAGACTCCAAACCCTCAGATCCTAAACCCCAAACCCATAGATCCTAAACCCCAAACCTCAAAACCTAACCCCCAAACCCTCAGACCCTAAACCTGTAAACCCTAAACCCTAGACCCCTAAACCCTTAAACCTTAAACCTGAAACCCCAAAACCCTAAACCCTAAGCCCTAAACCCCGAACCCTCAACCCTAAACCCTAATTAAACCTTAACCTCGAAACCCTAAACCCTAAACCCTAAACCCTAAACCCTAAACCCCAAACCCCTTAGTCCCTGCAAGGCCCTGGTGGCCTCTTGCGGCTTCAAGTTCCGGCGTTCGGCCTTCCGAGGAAGCTTGGGGGGGCAGAAGGTTAAGGGAAGGGTTTAGGGTTTGGGGTTTAGGGTTTAGGGTTTCGGGTTTGGGGTTTAGGGTTTAGGGTTTAGGGTTTAGGGTTAGGGTTAGAAAGGAACGTTCCTTAACCTAGATCTCCCAGTGGGCATTGATTTCCTCGTTTTGTTGCCCTGGTTCCTTGTCTAACAGCTCAAGACGGAAATGCGGGACCCCTCTTCATTGCTGGATCTGGACTGGGATTCCCGTTTCGGAGAGTACTCAGGGCTTGGGCTAAACCCGAAACCCTAAACTACCCTAAACCCTGAACCCTGAACCCTAAACCCTAACCTTCGCGGAACTAGGGAAGTAGGTGCCATATATAACCCTCTGGGACCCTCTAAGGAATTTCGTTCACATAATTCCCCAGCTCCCTAAACCCTAAACCCTAAACCCCAAACCCCAAACCCGAAACCCCAAACCCCAAACCCCAAACCCTAAACCCCAAACCCTAAACCCCAAACCCTAAACCCTAAACCCTGAACCCCAAACCCTGAACTAAGCCCCAGGGGAGGAGCCGAAACTGACGTTGCTGGCGCCCGCCAGCTTCGGGCCCTTTGCGGACGCCATCCCCCTGGACATCTCGGCCGCTCTTTCTGGAGTACAGCGGTTTCGGATGAGAGCCTGTAGGAGTCAAGGGTTTAGGGTTTAGGGGTTCAGGGTTTTGGTTTAGGGCTTAGGGGTTTCGGGTTTCAGGCTTAGGGTTTTGGTATGTTTAGGGTTTAGGGTTTAGGCTTGAGGAGTCAAGGGTTGGGTTCTTGATGGGATGAAGGATGTCGGGTGAGAGTATAGGCTTTAGGAGTACAGGGTTCGAGTTCCAGCATCGTGTGCTTTCGAGGATTTTTTTTTGGGATTTTTTGGTGTAGGCCTCGCAGGGTTTCGTGGCTTTCCGGGGGTTTGGGGCCCGGAAAAGGGCTTGTGGGGCTTTTATCAGGCCTTGGGGTACCTCAGCCCCTGCTGTGAGGCCCTTTGTTCGTGGATAAGGGGCTTCCTGCAGCAAAAAGCCAGAACCGGAATTCCATCCCTGGGCTGCGGAACCTTGAAGCTTAAGGTTTCGGGTTCAGGGTTCAGGGCACTCCTTGCAGGTAGTGTGAACGGCAGAACTTTGGACTGCCATGGACAGCCACCCGTTAGAGTGTGGATCTCAGGTGAATGCAGAGACGCCCCTCTACAATGCTGCGCCGCTCTGCTGCAGGGTTTAGGGGTTAACGGTTTGGGGTTTAGGGTTCAGGGTTGAGGGTTGAGGGTTCAGGGGACACCAGAAAAGTCTGACATTTCGTCTGCGGGTTCGGGGCTTGGGTTTTCGGGTATCGGGACCCTGACGTGCCGAGAATCAGGCTACTGGCAGAATGCGGACAGCTGGACCCCCGAGCAAAGCAGCTGATACTCCTGGCACCTGGGCATGTTTTGAGTTCCCTAACCCTAAACCCTACACCCCAAACCCTAACCCTCAACCCTAAACCCTAAACCCTAAAGCCTAAACCCTCAACCCCCGTACCTTGAATTTATTAAGAACAATTCCAAAAAAAGAGACTCCTTGAAACTCCTCGAAACGTGTTAATAACTTATAAACCCTAAACCCTAAACCCTAAACCCTAAACCCTAAACCCTAAACCCTAAACCCTAAACCCTAAACCCTAAACCCTAAACCCTAAACCCTAAACCCTAAACCCAGGGTCTGAGGCCTAAGGGCTGCTTAGGGCCTCCAGGATGGCAAGCAGAGCACCAGGACCATATGGGGCGGGGTTTACGACAAATCAGGGAGCCCTAAGGTTAGGGTTTAGGGTTTAGGGTTTAGGGTTTAGGGTTTAGGGTTTAGGGTTTAGGGTTTAGGGTTTAGGGTTTAGGGTTTAGGGTTTAGGGTTGAAGGGGACCCCTAAATAGACCCCCAAATGGGAGGATTCCCTCAGAATCAGGACCCCAATAAGGTACCCCGAAGTTCGGAAACCCCCATATCAATCAACGACCTCTAGGCAGCTGGACGCAGCTGCGTTTTGCACGGCTTCGGGTTGCAATGCTTTGAGGCGCCTCAAGTTTTAGGACGTTTAAAGGTGACCTTCTGCCCGGAAAAGATTCGTATAAGAGGCTCATATAAACCCTGCACTGTTTGCAAGAGGCGTTTTTATCAATGTCTGCGTGGTTTTGAGCGTCGTAGTTGATGATCCAACCCTAAACCCTAAACCCTAAACCCTAACCCCTAAACCCTAAACCCTAAACCCGAAAGCCCTAAACCCTAAACCCCTAAAGTAAGCTTCTGGCTTAGAATAAGTACCCGAGAAGCTGCCCCAGGTGCGGCGCTGGGCCAAAGACCGCGGCATCTGCCATGCTGCGAAGGGTACCCGGGCTTAATGTTTGGGGGGGTTAGGGTTTAGGGTTTAGGGGTTCAGGGTTCAGTTGTTGGGGGGTTTAGGGGTCCCTGAGCCCTAAACCCTAAAAATTTAAACCCCAGGCCCTAAACTCTTAATGCTAAACCCTCAAGGCCAAACCCTAAACCCTACAGAGCCTCGACTCTTAAACACATGATGCTTAAATCCAAGCTCCAAGATCAGCCTTTCACCCCACAGTTATGTGCTTCCTTGTATTGGGGGTACCCTTCCTAGTACAGGGTATAGTATTTTGGGGTGTAGGGTTTAGGTTTAGGGTTTAGGGTTCAGGGGCCAGGGTAAGGTTGTAATACTTTGGGGTACATTAGGAGAACCCTTTTTTTTGGGAAGTACCCAGTTCTAAGCCCTGCACTGCGCGGGTCGCACTGTCGACGGCGATTCCCATCACCGATGGAGGTCAAGGTGCCAAGTCAGGACGGCAATGTGGGAGTTTCCGATAGTAGGGGTGCCTTGTTGGGGTTTGGGGTTTAGGGTGTAGGGTTTAGGGTTTAGGGTTTAGGGAGTGTTTCACATTAGGGGTGCCTGATTGGGGTCCTTATGAAAGAGTTGCAGGGATTTGGTGTTGTGGTTAGATCGACCCTAAGCTTGCTCTCTATCAGGCTATCTATCGCCCTATCACTGGAGCTTGCTGGTGATCTTCTTCCTTCAGGCTCGCTGGTACGATGATGGGCTGAGCAGGGTTTGGGGTGTGGGCTTCAGGGCTTTCGGCCTGGTTTGAGGAGCCTTAAACCCTAAAATCGACGGGGGTTGGGGACGGAGGGTCGAGGAATTCGGGGCGAGGTTTCATTTGCCGGATTGCGAATTAGGCTTCGGGGTTGGATAAATCTTGAAACCCCTAAACACTAACCTGCCAGCCTAACCCCTAAACCCGAATCCCTAAACCCTAAACCATAAAACTCCCATACCTGACCCCCAAACCCTCCGTAGCCTGAAGCACCCCGAAAGAAACCCCAGCCAACACCCGTGAAAGCCTAAACCCTGGACCCAAACCTTTAACGGGCCCTAAACCCTAAGCCCTAAGCCCTAAGCCCTAAGCCCTAAACCCTAAACCCTGCACCCTTTTGGCGAAGCCAGGTGCGGCGCACGTCCGAGGAGTCACATGTCAGGGCCTTAGACAGGGCGGGCTTGGTTTTGAGTATCTTGGGGAATGTGTAGGGTTTAGGGTTTAGGGTTTAGGGTTTAGGGTTTAGGGTTTAGGGTTTAGGGTTTAGGGTTCCTTGGTCTATTTGGGGAATGAAACGAACATTTAGAGTCCGTAAGGGGGGCACCTGATCCCGATTTTCGGGTCCGGTTCCCAAACTTTAAACCCCATCGTCCTACAGCCCAAAAGGTGTCGGGGGGCTTTGACCATCTGCGACCGCAAATAGGGGCCCAGAGGGCCCCAGTAGGCATATACCCCAGTTGAACCCTAAGCCCGAACCCTAAAACCCAAAACCCTAAACACCCCAAACAGCCTCATCCTTGACCCGAAACCCTGAATCCTAAACCCGACTAAACCCGAAACCCCACCACGTGGACCCTTTTCCGGTTTGCATTATAAAGGCCGGTGGCCTCTTTATCTGTTACCCTAGATACCCTTAAACCCTAAACCTTAAACCCTAAACCCTAAACCCCAAACCCGAAACCCTAAACCCTAAACCCTAAACCCGAAACCCGAAACCCTAAACCCTAAACCCTAAACCCCGAACCTCCAAGGTGCTGCCCCCATTGCAGCACTTCCGGGCATTCTGTGACCTGACCTCCTCGCCCCAGCCCCAGCGGGGGCCGCCTGGAAGTTCGTGTTTTCGAGGCAGTCAGGGTTTGGGGTTTAGGGTTTAGGGTTTAGGGCTTGGGGTTTAGGGTTTGGGGTTTGGGGTTTGGGGTTTTGGGTTTTGGGTTTAGGGCTCTTTTTGTTTGTTTTCTTGGCCATGATGGGCTTGAAAAAGCTGTAGTGCCACTCCGCCTGCGCCCTAAACCCCAAACGCTAAGCGAACGACATCCATAAAACCCTTATTCTGCCCGAAGGAGACCTTAAGCCCTAAGCTCTAAGCCCCTTAGCCGTACAACGCTTAAGCCCCAAAGCTCTTGGGCCCCAAATGCTCCAGACCTCTAAACCCGAAGCCCTTAACCCCTCAGCGCTAAGCCCCAGAACCCTCGCAACAACTCTTAAACTCCTACTCCCTAACCTGATGCCCCCCTATAAGCCCCAAACCCCAAACCCCAAACCCCAAACCCCAAACCCCAAACCCCAAACCCCAAACCCCAAACCCCAACCCCAAACCCCAAACCCCAAACCCCAAACCCCAAACCCCAGACCCCAGACCCCAAACCCCAAACCCTAAACCCTAAACCCTAAACCCTAGACCCTCAACCCTAAACCCTAAACCCCCCACCCCAAACAAGGTCACCGAAGCTTGAGCGAGCCGCGCGCACATCCGCCAAGGCTGGCGGAGGCCCAGGGTGCTCCTGACAGGAAGGCTGAAATCCTTTAATCCGGTTTAGGGTTTAGGGTTTAGGGTTACCCTAAACCTTAGGGATTCTTGGGGATGATTTTTTAATTTTTGGGTACTGTAATTCCTAAGAAACAGCTAAAAATGAGATTTTTGCCCTGGGTTCCAAGTTCGGTATAGAAACCCCAAAGCCCGAAAGCCCTGAACCCGAAGGCCTCAGACCCTAAATAGACCACAAGGTCAACCCTGTTTGCCTTCAGGGTGTAGCGTGTAGTGTAGGGTGCAGGCCTGGGGTTTAGGTCTTAGCCCCCTCCTCCATCCTGCTTGTTTAGTGCAAGGTTTAGCTACACCTGGAACCCCAAGATCTGAGCCCTAAACCCTAAACCCTAAACCCTAAACCCTAAACCCTAAACCCTAAACCCTAAACCCTAAACCCTAAACCCTAAACCTTAAACCCCTTGATCAGATCACACCTCGCAGCTGTTGACGGAGTTCATGCACTTCTACCGCAACTTTGACTGGAGGACCTGCATGGATGTTCAGGGCTTGGGGTGTGGGGTTTAGGTTCTTTTTTGGGGGGGTTTGGGGGGTTTAGGAAGTAGGGTTCAGGCCTTTGGGCTTCAGGAAGTAGGGTTTAGGTCCAGGCTTACCCTAAACCCTAAACCCTAAACCCTAAACCCTAAACCCTAAACCCTAAACCCTAAACCCTAAACCCTAAACCCTAAACCCTAAACCCTAAATCCTGGGGGCTTAGGTTTCTGGGCGCGAGTGGGTGCCGAGAGCTGGGCTGCAGGAATGAGATGATCAACACCATCGAGGGCGAGCGCGGCCCGCCTACCGTGTTCGAGGCGTCCCCCCCCCTCGCCCCCGAAACCCTAAACCCTAAACCCTGAACCCTAAACCCTAAACCCTGAACCCTAAACCCTGAACACTAAACCCTGAACCCCTAAACCCCAAGCCTGTCGTTGCATCCTCATTCCCCTACCCCTACCTGCCCTGCTCGTGCGAAGATCTCTGACGCGCCACGTTTCGGAGAGTTCGCAGGCGCCGGGGTCCTTCGCGCCGCCCCTGTATCTCCAGGACGCCATAGGGCCTCTTGGGGTTCAGGGTTTAGGGTTTAGGGTTTAGGGTTTAGGGTTTAGGGTTTAGGGTTTAGGGCGCCTGAGCCTAAAGCCCTAAAACCTGAACCTTAAAGCCCTTGAGCTGAAAAGCCCCCAAAAGCCGCGGGTTCAAGGGGTTGCAACTGTAGAATCGTATACTCCTTGTAGCCATGGGTACCCAGACAGGGCGCCCATCATGTAGGATCCTTGATTCTTGTGGGGTTTCGGGGTCTTTAGGAAACACTGAACGTGAAACCTAAACCCTAAATCCCTCAACCCTAGGCCCAAAAACCCTAAACCCTAAAGCCCTGAACCCTATACCCGAAAGCCCCAAGTCACTGAACCTTTAACCCTACACCTTGAACCCTAAACCCTATAGGACCCTAAGGCTTAGAAGCAAAGATGCCATCCCTAAACCCTGAACCCTAAACCCTATACCCGATAATTACCCTAAACCCTAGCCCTAAACCCTAAACCCTAAACCCTAAACCCTAAACCTTAAACCCCTAAACCCTAAACCCTAAACCCTAAACCCTAAACCCTAAACCCCTAACCCCTAACCCCTAAACCCTAAACCCTAAACCCTAAACCCTAAACCCTAAACCCTAAACCCTAAGCCCTTCCCCCGAAAATGCCCCCACAAAAGCCCCAAGGACCCCTTTCGGCCGCTCTGCAACCTCGGGGACCGCTGTTCGGAAGCAAGCTGCTTGGCTGGGACCTTGTTTAAACAAATAGGGTTTAGGGTTTAGGGTTTAGGTAGGGTTTAGGTAGGTTTTAGGGTTGAGGGTTGAGGGTTGAGGGTTGAGGGTTGAGGGTTGAGGGTTGAGGGTTGAGGGTTGAGGGTTGGAAGGTTCCCCCTTATGCTAACAGTCCTTTCTTTGGATTATATTACCCCCCCCCCCCTATTAAACTGAATCCCTATGAAGGACTGTTAGTATAAGGGGGAGCATCCCGAGTTTAGGGTTTAGGGTTCCGAGTTGGTGTTTGGCTTAGTCACTTGGGCTTTTGGCTGGTTGGGTGGGGTGGGGATATTTCGGGCGCAGACCCCAAACACCTAAACCCCAAACCCTGAATTCCCAAACCCTAACCTCCCAAAGTCCCGAACGGCTTGCGGGTTCCGGGTGAATCCCCTGCGCCCATTTGGGCCTGGGGATCCGCCCAAACAAGAAACAACAATCGCTCAAATTCAAACCCTAAACTCCCAATCGTAAAGCCTAAGCCCTAAACCCAAACCCCAAACCCTAAACCCCAAACCCTAAACCCTAAACCCTAAACCCCAAACCCCAAACCCTAAACCCTAAACCCTACACCCTAAACCCTAAACCCAAACCCTAAACCCTAAACCCCACAAAGGCTTCCAGCGCATTCGGGACGAGCTGCAGCGGGCCAGCGGCCTCTGCACAGCGCAGTCTGAGGCTGCTTTGGGGTTTAGGGTTCAGGGTTTAGGGTTTAGGGTTTAGGGTTTAGGATTTGGGGTTTAGGGTAAGCCTTAAAACCCTAAAAGCTGAACGCCTAAAGCCCTACAACCCTTCAAACCCTCAAACCCTCAAACCCTTCAAGCCTTCAAACCCTTCAGACCCTCAAACCCTCAAAGCCTCAGACCCTCAAACCCTCTTTTTACCTCAAAACCCCGAACACCCTAAGCCCCATCCAAAATCCTTAACCCTCCTGAAATTTTAGAATCTAAACCCAACATTGTAAACCCTAAACCCAAATCTTTAAGGCTTGGGGAGTGGGTTGAAGTGCTATTACGCAAGAACCAACACCTAGATTGCAAATATTTGGCGGTTTACGTTTAGGGTTTAGGGTTTAGGGTTTAGGGTTTAGGGTTTAGGGCTTAGGGTTGAGGGCTTAGGGTTTAGGGCTTAGGGTTAGGTTTTTCTGACTGTCCGTTGGGCTTGCTGACTTGAACTTTGCTGTGGCTCTAAAGCACGCATCATGACAGGAACAGCTGCAGTTTCAACTAGGTTTAGGGTTTAGGGTTCAGGGTTTAGGGTTTTGTGCGCGTGTACAAGAGTGTGCTCATGTGTTCATCCGTACAGCTGGACTTCTTACTTGGTAAACCCTAAAGGTCCTACACCCTAGAAACATCAAGAGTCCTAAACCCTAAACCCTAAACCCTAAACCCTAAACCCTAAACCCTAAACCCTAAACCCTAAACCCTAAACCCCAAACCCTAAACCCAAGAATCCTAAGGCTAGGCCTCCAACAGCCACCCTAGAAAACATGATGGATGTCTAGGTCGAAACCCCCCGCCCCCGCCCCCCGCCCACCCTCCCAAAACAGTCCCTGTGAGAATCTTAGAAGACTGTCCTAAACCCTAAACCCCAAACCCTAAACCCTAAACACCAAACCCCAAACCCTAAACCCTAAACCCCAAACCCTAAACCCCAAACCCTAAACCCTAAACCCTAAAACCCTAAACCCTAACCCCTAAACCCCCCCCCCCCCGCCCCCAGCCCACCCTCCCAAAAAAGCCTGTGAGAATCTTAGAAGACTGTCCTAAACCCTAAACCCTAAACCCTAAACCCTAAATTTAAACCCTAAACCCAAACCTTACACCCTAAACCCCAAACCCCAAACCCAAAACCCCAAACCCCAAACCCTAAACCCTAAACCCTACCCACCACAGTTGAAGCACCTCTTCGAGCCCTGGGCACCCAGCAACGGCCGCCGGGCTTTAGGGTTTCAGGGTTTAGGGGTTTTGGAGCTTTGGGGCTTTAGGATGTTTGAGGGTGTTTTAGAGTGTTTTAGGGTGTTTTAGGGTGTTTCAGGGGGGTTTTGGGGTTTATAGGGGTTTAAGGTTCTTTAGGGTTTGAGGGCTGCAGGGGGTTTCAGGGGTTTTAGTGTGTTGGGGGTTTAAACGTGTAAGGGTTGGTTCAGGCTGGTATCGGGTTTCGGGATTTTCAGGCATTGGGTACAAGGTTGACGATTTAAGATTCGTTTTCTGAGGTGCCAACTACGATGACCGCGATTGAGGTGACCAACCAAGGGACGGGTCACCCCAGGTGACAACCTCTGGGGCGCGCGCGTGTGCAGGGATTTGGGTTCAGAACTTTCAGGTGCAGCTGTTTGGGGATTTGGTGTCAGTGGGTCAGGTAGAGCCCTAAGGTGCATGCCCGCTCCAAGGTACCATCTGGGTGCAAGTGGCTTCTGCCCTGTACTTCTAGTGCCATTTAAATCCACACCGTAGGAGATGAGACATGCGGAAGAGCTGCAGACATTGCTTGGGCACAGCACTTTACGCCCGAGCCACCACAGGCCATCAACATCCGCGCTGTCCCAAAATCTGAGTCAAAACTGCGTCAGAGCTGTTTGGGTAAGGGTTTCAAGGGTTGTATGGGTTGGTGGTCTCTTTAAGTATGGTTTCTGTTGCATAGGGGCATATATTGGGGGCTCTTATGAGGGTATCTGGGGGCTATATTAAGGTATAAGGGTAACAGACAAAGAGGCCACCGGCCTAATTATATAATTTCAAGGGTGTTTAGGATTTAGGGTCCCGAATCCTTGAACTCTAAGCACGAAGCTCGACACCGTGGTGTAGGGTTCAAAGCCCGTATGGCGGAGGCAAAGAGGCCGCCTAAGCCCTAAACCCTAAACCCTAAACCCTAAACCCTAATCCTGAGCCACCCAAAGCCCTCCAACCAGCTCCCTCCCTTTCAATATTTTCGGACCTGCAGCTGTTCATCAAGGAGACGACATGAAAGACAAAGGCAACGAGGGCTGTCGAGCTCTGAAGTTAGGCTTGTCTGAGAAGGTTGCGGCAATTTTTTTTGACTGAGCCTTAAACCTTAAACCCTGAACCCTTACATTGACAGCAGCATGGGTTGCTTTAACTGGGTGCAGATGCCTGACTCCTAAAGCCTGCGAAGCCCAGAAAAAAGAAATCTAAGCCGCCCAAAAAAGAGTCGACCACTAAAAGCCCTAGAGCCCCCATCGCCCAAGAGCCCCCCACCCCCCCCCAACCCCCCCAAAGCCCCCAAAACCCTGAGCCCCCATCACGACCACCCCAAAACCCGCAAACCCCGAAGCCCGCAATCTCCGAAACCCTAAACCCTAAACCCTAAACCTCAAACCCTAAACCCTAAACCCTAATCCCTAAGCCCTAAACCCGAAACCCTAAACCCTAAACCCTAAACCCCAAACCTCCCTCAAAAGAAACCAACCCACACATACCCGTCTTGCCTTGGCGCAAGCCATGCCGGGAGCCATGGCCAGGTCACTTCAAGTGGGGTTTGGGGTCTAGGGTTTAGGGTTTAGGGTTTAGGGTTTAGGGTTCAGGGTTTAGGGTTTAAGGTTTGGGGTTTTGGGTTTAGGGTTTTGGGTTTGGGGTTCGGGGTTTAGGGTTTAGGGTTTTGAGTTGGGGGTTTATATAGAGTTTGGGGTTTAGGGTTTGGGGTTTAGGGTTTAGGGTTTAGGGTTCAGGGTTTAGGGTTTAAGGTTTGGGGTTTTGGGTTTAGGGTTTTGGGTTTGGGGTTCGGGGTTTAGGGTTTAGGGTTTTGAGTTTGGGGTTTATATAGAGTTCGGGGTTTAGGGTTTGGGGTTTAGGGGTTGGCGTTTAGGGTTTTGGGTTTGGGGGTTAGGGATAGGGGGTTAGGGTTTAGGGTTTGGGGTTTGGGGTTTGGGGGTTGGGGTTTTGGGGTTTAGGGTTTGCGGTTTAGGGTTTGGGGTTTAGGGTTTAGGGTTTTTGGGTTTGGGGTTTGGGGTTTAGGGTTTGGGGTTTAGGGTTCAGGGGTTAGGGTTTTGGGGTTTAGGGTTTAGGGTACAGGGGTTCGGGTTTTGGGTTTGGGGTTTAGGGTTTATATAGGGTTTGGGGTTCTGAGGGTTGAGGAGTTTAGGGCTTGGGGTTTAAAGGGGTGTAATTGAAGGTTTTTTGGGGCTTCGGGGCTTTGCTGGGTCTTTGCGGCTGAGGGCTTTAGGGTTTCGGGTTTTGGGTTGGAGGGGTTTTGCGCTTTGGTCGGGGGCTTGTTGGGCAACACTAGCTTTCAACCCCTCAATCCCTAAACCCTTCCCTCAACTTCTCAATCCCTAAACCCTTCAACCCCTCAACCCTCGACCCCAAACCCCAAACCCCAAACCCCAAACCCCAAACCCCAATCCCCAAACCCCAAACCCCAAAGCCCAAACCCCAAACCCCAAACCCCAAACCCCAAACCCCAAACCTCAAACCCTAAACCCAATACCCTAAACCCTAAACCCCAAACCCCAAACCCCAAACCCTAAACCCTAAACCCTAAACCCTAAACCTTAAACCCTAAAACCTAAACCCTAAACCCTAAACCTAAAACCCTAAACCCTAAACCCTAAACCCTAAACCCTAAACCCTAAACCCCAAACCCCAAACCCCAAATCCCAAGCCCCAAGCCCCAAACCCCCAAACCCGAAACCCGAAACCCTAAACCCAAACCCCTCCCCCCTAAACCCTAAACCCTAAACCCTAAACCCTAAACCCTAAACCCTAAACCCTAAACCCTAAACCCTAAACCCACAAGCGAAGCCTTGGGGCTCCGGCAGCTTCTTGCGCACTCAGGGATCCGCTTTGCGGCGGCCGGTCGGGAGCCTTTGCTTTCACCTTTGGGGCTGTAGAGTGTTTGGGGTTTAGGGGTTAGGGGTAAGGGTTTAGGGTTTAGGGTTTAGGGTTTAGGGTTTAGGGTTTAGGGTTTAGTTTCGGGTTTGGGGTTTTTGTTTAGGGCTTGGAGTTTTGGAGGTCCAGGGCTCAAGATTTAAGGGGTTCAGGAGGGCTTTCAGGGCATGTAATATGGGCGCACTAATTACCAATATTCTTCCCTTATATTCCCTTGTAATAGCACGAAAGTAGCCCCCAAAACCCTAATGCTAATCTAATCATAAACCCTAAATCTAAACCCTAAACCCTAAACCCTAAACCCTAAACCCTAAACCCTAAACCCTAAACCCTAAACCCTAAACCCTAAACCCTAAACCCTAAACCCTAAACCCTAAACCCTAAACCCTAAACCCTAAACCCTAAACCCTAAACCCTAAACCCTAAACCCTAAACCCTAAACCCTAAACCCTAAACCCTAAACCCTAAACCCTAAACCCTAAACCCTAAACCCTAAACCTTAACCCTAAAACCCTAAACCCTAAACCCTAAACCCGAAACCCTACACCCGAAAACCCTAAATCCCAAGCCCTAAGCTCTCCGCCTCAAACCCACAAGCCTACGAGCCCTCAACTACGATTACGACGAGGACGACGACGACGACGACGACGACGACGACGACGACGACGACGACGACGACGACGACGACGACGACTACTACTACTACTACTACTACTACTACTACTACTACTACTACTAATACTGTTGTTATTGCTATTACGATTGCTGTTACTATTGCTATTGCTATTGCTCTTCTTCTTCTTCTTCTTCTTCTTCTTCTTCTTCTTCTTATGATTATTATGATTCTGGTCGTTGTCGTTATTGCAGTTATGATTGCGACTGTTACTTCTCTTCAAACATAAGACAAATATCTAGAATACAACACTGCGTTACCTGCACCTAACGCCATTATTGCGCAGCATCTTTATTAGACATGTTTATTTCCTGAATCGATTTTATATTGGGTCCTTTTTTGGGCGTTCCTACAAGAAGGGCGATAGTGTTTCGGGGTATATAGAAGGGGTCTATATTTTGAGAAGTACCCAAACCGAGGTAAAAGCTGAGGTAATGTGTGCTGAGCTGCTAACCCATCGGTTTGGAAGTTCGAGTTGGTTGGTTGGGTTCAGGGTGAACGGCTGCAAAGGAAGTTTAGGGTTTAGGGTTTAGGGTTTAGGGTTTAGGGTTTAGGGTTTAGGGTTTAGGGTTTAGGGTTTAGAGACCTCGTTGAGGAGGACGAGCCGGCACCCCGCGTGAGGTGATTGATCTGATGCAGAGAGAGGGCGTTAAACTGCTGAACGCCTTCAGCCCTCAGCCCCAACAATGCCTAAACCCTAAGCCCTGAACCCTAAACTCTGAACAGTTCGTCTTTGCTTAGAGCTTTGTCTTCAAACCTTGTGCAGATTGCAAGACTTCCTAACCCTGAGCCTCAGCTCCATAGCTGAAGCGACTTATACCCTAAACCCTAAACCCTAAACCCTAAACCCTAAACCCTAAGCCCTAAACCCCCTAGAGCCATGCGCGCTCTGCTCCGCGCCCCCCGGCACGCGCTGTCGGTGCGCACTCTTGCGGCGCGCGGCCACGCGCGGCGCTGGGCGGCGGGTTTGCAACCAAGTGTGTGGCCTGGCAAGGGATTGGGGGTGTTTAGGGTTTAGGGTTTAGGGTTTAGGGTTTAGGGTTTAGGGTTTGGGGGCTCTGAGAGTTTCAGAGATTGCGGCGAAGCCCAAACTCGCAACTGTGAACCCTAAACCCGTAGCCCTAAACCCTAAACCCTAAACCCTAAACCCTCAACCCTCAACCCTAAACCCTAAACCCTAAACCCTAAACCCTTTTAAGCCCCAAAACCCGACCAGGCAAGAGGTGCTAGAGGCGGCGAAGCAGGAGGAGCAGGCGTGGCCACATGGGGGGGGAGTCTAATGTTGGGGTTTGCAGGCTGCAAAAACCCTACGCTGAGCCTGCATCCCAAAATCCCCAAAGTTGGAGTTCAGGGTTTGGGGTTTAGGGTTTAGGGTTTAGGGTTTAGGGCTTAGGGGTTGAGGGTTTAGGGGTTTTGGGTTTAGGGGTTTTGGGTTTAGGGGTTTTGGGTTTAGGCTCTTGAACACTTTTCAGACTTGTCGGAGCTTGGGGTTCCCAGCATTCCCTGAGCTGCTGCTTCTCTGCCCTACGTTGAATGCCCCAAACCCCTTGGCCCTAAACCTGAAACCCTAAACCCTAAACCTTAAACTCTATGCCCTAAACCCTGAACCCTAGGACATCCCTAAACCCTAAGCCCTAAACTCTAAGCCCTGAACCCTAAACTAAAAATCCTAAAGTTCCAAACCCTCAAGACCAGCCCAAAGAGCCCAATACTGAATTAAG